CCTAGTTGGGCCTTGAGGAGACAAGGATAGAAAACACCTCTTAATGCTGTCACTCAGGGACCCCACAGGATAATGACGCAGACACCACTCATAGGAACAGGAACAGACCTCGTCCTCCACGCTAACTAAAAAGATAAGAAATCAACACTAAAGACAGGGGAAAGAGTCACAGCCAGGATAGCAGCCCTGACTGTCACAGCAGCCCTGGTGGCTCATAATCCCGGGGACAGGACGAGGCTCTGGCCATCCCAGTGTCCCTGTGATCATAGATGTCAGCCTTTGGCTCTAAGTGATGAAGACCACAGAGCTGGGAGGGGACAGAGAGCCACAGCCAATTACATACGGAGCTCCACCTGGGCACAGCCCTGTTCTCACTCAGCTCCCACAGCCTCTTCCCACCAGGTGCACACAGCACAGTGAACAGAGATTCTGGGAGGTTCTCCACGCTGCCATTTATTTCCTCCATAAACTCTACTCAATCCTTTATTTTTACCGCCAATCAACCTTTGAGATCAAGGACATTAACAATCAAGTTCACATTCAGGTTCTTATTCTCAGTGGGGAAGTCAGGGCTGCAGCTCAGGACAACACGAGGAAGACAGGATGGAGATGTCCCCTCCTGTCTGCAGGAACAGGAAGGTTGGCTGTGGAAGGGAACAGGGCAGTGCAGGGACAGGGTCCTGGTGTGCAGGGTGGGCTGGGCTCCCCAGTTCTTCACATTGAGCCCATGGGATCACAGGGAACATCAGACACTATTGTTGAGAGTGAACTGAGGGGCTCCGGATGTCACAGGAGAGACCTGAACACATTGTCTGTCACTCCATCCACACCAGGCAGCTGTCTTCACGCTACAGAATAAGAGTCATGAACAATCACTGTGAAGACAACATCCCAGCAACCCACCACTCACTCAAAGGTGATTCTGGGAGTCCCTGAAACCCAATCATGTTCACTCTGCCCCTCAGGTCGCAGAGGGTCACCTTTACAGTCTGGGAGAGACACATCGGAGCTCTGGCAACTCTCCCTGCCTGGGGTAAAAATATATGTATTCATGGGAAGGTAAAAACTTGGCCACTAGAAGATTTACTGCAGGAGCTATTATGTATTTCCAGAGCTCCCCAAATACGCCAGCTTAACCCCACAGGCCTCAGGGACAATCCTGCTCACCACTCTTACCTGGAGCCGGAGCATAGTTGACTTCTTTTCCACCTGTGAGAAGAAAAGCTGTGAGAGACCAGGGAAGTCCCTGGCCCTAGGAAGTTTCCAGAACTGACAGCAGACCCAGCTTAGAGACAGCAGCAATGAGGGGTGTGGATGTGTTTCCCATTAATGAGGCAGAGACTCTTTTAAAAGGGACTGAGAGAGAACTCAGACCCTGCCCTTTCCTACCTGTGTTTCTCCTCCTCTTCCTCACAACAGCCACCACAGCTACAATGATNAATATAAGGAAAGGTCCTACTTGTCCTTTGTATAACCAAACTCCGTTACCTGCAGGAAGTAACCCAAAAGGTACCCAAAGAAATGAAATTTGGCAAATGGATGTGTTTCATTTTGCAAAGTTGGAAAATGGCAGTATGTGCACCATATCATAAACATATTCAGGGTTGACATGGGCAACGGGTCTGAGTTCTGACAAGGCTGGTTCTGCAATTACACTTACATCATGACTTACATCTGTACAAATCAAGACAGACAGTGCTGCAGCAGATGTATCCAGTAAAATGAAACAGGGTTTTGCATATTACAGCATAAAGCATATTACAGGTGTACCACACAACCCTACAGGACAAACAGTTATAGAAGGGTCTAATCGCACTTTAAGAGCTATGCTTAATAAACAGAAAGGAGTGATAAAGACCCAGAGACAGGTCACACAATGCTCTGTTACCTGTAACATTTTACATGCTAACGAGGAAGTGATGTCAGCTGCGGAGAGACAGCGGGTAATAGAAACAACTGCAGAGCTAAGTCAGCCTGAATAAAGATGAGTTGACCTCAGAATGGAAACCAGGGTGTGTATTAGGTTGGGGAAGGGGTTTTACGTTTGTTTCCACAGGGGAAGAAAGCTGTGGATTCCATCAAGAAGGACAAAGTTTTGATTTGAGCAGGAGAAACCTCTTGATTATGAGAGGTGATAGTTCATCAAACATCGTGGTCATTGGGTCTAAACTAACTTATAAGACTGACAAATGCCTTTCATTTGATCAGACAAAACCTGCCAAAAATGGGAACTCCCCAAAGGTAG